GGGGTGGGATCACTTACAGAATCTGCTACTCTTCTGCTGATGGGAACAGTACCCTAATGTAATAATTTGTGGTAGAGTGCTTGCCTTGCATGCACAAGGCCCTAGGTTCCATTCCCAGCACCCAAATGAAAACCAACAACGTCAAAAGACAACCTGTGATTAGAGAATGTGAATTTTGCATTTGCTTATGAACAGTTTCTTAACACATAACAGCAGAAAACCATCAAGCTGATCTAAGAATACACAAAATATTCCCCACAGTCTGTCAGTTACATGAGTTCTCCATTGTATTTTGTGTCCCTTGCATCCATATCCAGGGTTTCCCTTGGATACCAAATATCTCTCCTCTTTCCACCACTTCATAATAACTTAATAGATTATAATCCTCCTGACGCCTGCTTCCACAAACAAACTTCACATCTTTTTCAAAGTCAAGTGCCATATCTATTCTAGTATTGATGTATTTCTTAACCATTTAACTTAGTTAATATGGTGTTACTGTTTTTATTTGGGTCCTGTCTTTTTTTTTTTAATGTGCCACTAATGAAGTTTTTTAGTGTTGTGCTATAGTCCCATATTTTCCCATAAGCCCTGTGGTTATTATTGTGTGATTTTTATACAGTGCAGTGACTTCTAAGAAGTACAGTATATACTACTTATAGAACTAACCACAGAAATAAATTTTACATGTGTCTTTAAAAGCATGCTGATGCATAATAGTGAGACATAGTAGTGGGATTCACTGTGGCATATTCATACATGCTCAGAACATAATTTGATCAATTTCATTCCCCAGTACCTCACTTACCCTCCATTCCTCCCTCTCCTGGCCCCCTTTCTATATCCTAATGGTTTCCCTTCTGTTTTTATAACATCACTTTTCTCCCCTTCACATATGAGAAAAAACATACAACCCTTCACTGTCTGAGTCTGGCTTACTTTATTTAACATGAAGCTCTCTAGTACCGTGCATCTTCTTATAAATTATATAATTTTGTTCTTCATTACGGCTGTGTAAAATACCATTGTGTGTGTATATATATGTACATATGCATATATACATATATATCATATTTTATTTTTAAAATTAATTCTTTTTAGTTATACATGACAGTAGAATCTATTTTGACGTAATTATAAAAGCATGAAATATGTCTTGTTTTAATTCAATCCCCAGTACCTCTCCTTCCCCTTCCCTCAACCCCTGCTCCCTTCCCTCTATTGATCTTTTGGCCATTTACTCATGGTTATTTTTTGTTAATTTCTTGTGAATGTGGATGATGATGAGATTCACTGTGGTATATTCATATATGTACATAGGAAAGTTATGTCTGATTCATTCTACTGTCTTTCCTTTTCCCATTCCCCTCCCTTCCCTTCATTCCCCTTCATCTACTCCACTGAATTTTTATTCTCCCTCTCCCCTCCATTGGGGGTTACCTTTCACATATCAGAGAAAACATTCAGTCTTTGTTTTTTTGGAGATTGGCTTATTTTACTTAGCGTGATAGTCTCCAGATCTATCCATTTATTGGAAAATGTCATCAAGTCGTTCTTTTTATGGCTGAGTAATATTCAATTGTGTGTAGGTACCATATTTTTTTATCCATTCATCTGTTGATGGATACCTAGGCTGGTTCCACCCCTTGGCTATTGTGAAATGTGCAGCTATAAACATGGTTATTCATGTATCTCTAAATATATGATGACTTTAATTCTTCTGGATCAATACTAAGGAATGGGATAGCTGGGTCATAAGGTGCTTTCATTCCTAGTCTTTTGGGGATCCTCCATACTGATTTCTATAGCTGCTTCTTATCAGACCTCTAATAGTGATGTAGGAACACCCCACCTTCTAGAGAATTTTATTCCCCATCCCTTCCTTTTCTCCCTCTACTCTTGACAACCACTGATGGCTACAAAGCTCTTCTGGCTTTTTGGTGCCCACCACATGTCCTGGGGAGAAGCAAGTGGCCACAGCTCCCTGGCTGCTTCTGGGCCCTACATCACCTGCTCACACCCGTCTGGCTCCCTTCCAGCCTTGACTTACTTAGGGTTTGGGGATTCAGGGGTTTCAGGTCTCTTGGTACCTCTTGGATTCCCTATGTGCCAATCCTCTCTGGCTGTATGGATTCCATTCTTGGACTCTTTCTTAGGTCTGACTGGGTCTGAACCAACTTCACTGTTTGTTTTTTTTTCATTTTCTGAGCCCTATTTTGGGGCTCAGTTGAAATTTACTTCCACCCATTTTAGCTTCTGGCTCCCATTCCAGAACATCTGTTTGTGTGACCCTTCCTCCTACCTTTTTCTGCACAAACCACCTCTCCAGACCCCTCAGTTCAGCTCACTTGACTATTCTGCCCACCTGTTCAGGCATTGGACCCATAGAGATCTGATTCAGAGGTCAAAATGTAGTTATTTCATGCCTTTCTATATTTCATAAGAAAATAGGTAAGCATGAAATTTTTGCAATACAACATAAGCTCAAACAATTTTCTTTGAAATACTTGTGCAGCTGGCTTTATCCACCTTACTTAATAACTTTAATTTTAGCTGTCCTATTATGGATTTGAAAATTCGGTGTCTTGAAATATCTATTGTCTTTCCGTCATTGTTACCAGCAGATTCAAGGTCAAGTCTTCTAGTTTGGTATATATGCTTGGGGGCCAGCATTGACCCATCCATAAATAATAATAAAAAAAACTAAAAATTTAACTCTCTTATCCTGAGCTGGTGTTCTCACTCCTGTGTCTCTGCAGGGATTTCTCTGTCTGGCTACATAAGATGAGAATTCATTTTGATGTTTGGATAAAGCAGCGGCTACAAAACTGACAGCTACTTGGGGACTACACTGGCTCTTTTCTGCAAATACCAGTAGTTCAACATCAGAACGTGTTTATCTTAAGTCACTTAAAATCCTCATTTGTGAAATCAAAGGTTCTGTGCTCTTTTCTTCTTAGAACAGAGGTCAGCAAACTGTGGTCTGTGTTTGGACTGCAAAGCCTAAAATATTTACCATCTCTCCCTTCCCAGAAAACTTTTTTTCCAACCCATTCTAGAAAATAAACCATGGTGGTTATTTTTATATATGGTAAAGGTTATCAATGTGACATTGAAATGGGTAGGACTCTGATGATCAGTGAACTGTCTAAACCTGGGTGCAAAATTTGGTTTGTGATATAAATGTGCAATTTTGGAGGACAAGGACTTAAAGCTGTCAGCAGGCTCTCAAAGGGGCCCATGACCTTAAAACATCGAGAATTACAATCTATTGTCTCCTGCTGAGCAGTGTCTCACCATAGCATCCAGGTGTGGGCAATGAGACTGACTTTCTCATGTCTTGAAGGACATGCTAGAATCCACTTCCTACCAGAGGATGTGAAAAAGCTTACATGAAACTCAATCTAAATGTGATTGTTTTCCATGATTTTTCATTTTTGTCTTTGGGTCACAAGGCCTGATTTCCCCTGTTCTTGTCTCCTCTGAAGTGCATTATCAGAATCTTCACCCTGAGTACCACTAAATAAGGGATGGTGTTCCTACCCCCCATCCCTTGATCTGTGCCTTCCGAGACTCTATCAGCTTCTGGAATCAGAGCCCCAACGTGTGCACACCAGGACACTTGGAACTGGATTCAGAGGCCCTTGCAGTGCCTGTCTTCCATCTTATCCCTTGACAAATCCGTCTCTTTTTCTGTAGATGTTAGTCTGCCCTTTTTAGTCTTTATCCATCATAATTTATATTTGGTATTATTGATGCTTTTGGAAAATAAGTAGGATATAAATGATAAGTATAAAATTGAGGACGTCAGGTACAGTGGAAAGACAGTAAAACCCCCCATGATGCCTGAGAATGAGGGTCCCAAACCTTCAAGGGAGACAGGATGGTGTCTGCCCCTGGGGGTTCTGCTGCACCCTTATCTGTTCTGATTGATTTCTATTTTCTTTCAGTGATTCTTCATATTGACTATTAAGATTACTTGGAACTTTTATTCCATTTTCCATTTTGTGTATTATCTATAAATCCAAGATCATTAGTTCCCATTCAAAGCCACAAGAAATTCATTAAGAAATGCTAATGTAGCCAGGCATGGTGGCTCATACCTGTAATCCCAGTGGCTCAGGAGGCTGAGGCAGGAGGATCACACGTTCAAAACCAGCCTCAGCAATTTTGTAAGACCCTGTCTCAGAATAAAAAAATAAAAAGGGATGGCTCAGTGGTTAAATGCCTCTGGGTTCAATCCTTGGTATTAAAGAAAGAAAAGAAGGGAGGGAGGGAGAAAAGGCTACTTTGTTTCTATCACCTAATCTGATCACCTGCAAAAGAAACAATCACAGGTAGAAAGAATAAGTCAAAGAATTCCTGGTTTTAGCCACCAGGGTACCTGGAAGGAACATGGGAAGAAAGATCTGGAAGCTTTACATCCCTGGGCTTCCGTGATGTCAGACCCAAATCATTTCTTTATAAAAAATATTTGAAATGACCTCTTATAGAATGTTGAAACCAAATGTATAGCTATACCATAAACTACCTACATACATAATTTTAAAGAAGCTAATATCATGCCCTAACTGGGGATATAAAAAGAAAGAAATAGAAAGGAAAGTAATAATGAATTAATATGTGTTTCTCATGTGAACTCTGGGCCACCGCTGCACTAGAAGAAAAAAGGAGTGAGTAGGATAAACTTGCCTACTTATTATAGAAAATCAGTTTGTATTTAAGAGAAGTAGTAATATTCAACTGGATCTTCTCAAGCTTTTTTTTTTCTTGCCCTTGACATTTTGAAATGAAAGGCAAATAAATATGCATAAACACATAAACACAGTCACTGTGAAGGCACACAGGTGGAGACAGAGTAGGGTGTTGGTCCTGATTCCCCGGGGAAGCCACGCAGTTGAGAGGGGATTTTCTGAAATGGTGAATGACACTTGACAAAGTGTTTGTTGGCATGTAAAAGTTGGTTTCTGAGATAATTTGAAAAAGGTTCTCACCTTCAGGGACACCCTACATCGGTGTGGATATTGGCTGGTTCCATGTGCTGCAGGACTCTACCTGCTGGGGGTATGAGTGGCCCCATCTTTGTGACGACCAAAATGGCCTGCAGGTTACACCATGCTCTCTAGGGACAGCTGTCCCCATTAAGAACCTCTGCTCTTCTATAGGTAAAATGCAGTTGCTTTACTCCCCCCATCTCTACCCCCTCTCTTCCCCTCTCCCTCTCCCACCATTCATCTTTCAAAATGCTTGCCAGCAGGAGGGATGGACAATAAGAAAAAAAAAAAAACAAACAGGCGAGAAAATTAAGGATTTATGATAATAGCTTTGATGGGAAAACACAAGGTCGTTTTTAAGAGAGAGTAGGGGAGTTATTTCAAATAGTGAGTGTGAGAGAAAGCTCTGTGGGGAAATGTTGATGTGAGATCCAGCCATGCGAAGAGCAGAGAGGAGATTCATGTAGAGGAAGCAGCTTATGCAAAGGCCCTGAGGCCAGGAAGAGTTCAGAATGACAGATGAGAAGCCCATATGCCTGGAACCCCTAGGACCATGGTGCTATATGCTCTCTCATCCTTGAATATAAGACTTCTTCACATCTCTTCTTTACTTTATTCAGATTTTTGTTTGGAGAATGGAAAGACTAGAAATAATAGAGGCAAGAAAGGAATCTCCAAATGGAGGAATAGATAAGCTTGGGAGGAGGAGCCTACAGAATTTGCAGATGAACTGATGTAGGGTGATATTTAAGAGAAGGAGGGTGATTCTGTTGTTGTCTTCCTGTGTCTCTAGGTGGAAATAATATGGTCATTTGCAGAGATGGCAGGAAAATTAAGAGTGATGATAAATATTCTCACCAAGTTTCTCCCAATAACCATTAAATGCCTCATTTTGATATTTTGGGATGCCCAGGAGTGAAGGCCTGCTTTTGATCTACTATATTTTTTGTGCCATAGCTTCAAAGGTTCTTTGGAAACCCCACCACAAATTATTCCCAGCAGGAAGCAAAACCCCACTGGAGTGGGGTTCAGTGCCCAACTGTAGCTCCATGACTATTCTGGCCTTAATCTATTTTAAAGTCAAAACTGTTGCCGCTGATGGTATTTTGTGGGATTTCTGCTTTTTATAAACTTTGCTTCCTTCCTATTTATTTATTTTATTTTCCCCTTCATTTTCTTGCCCTCTGAGTGCATAACTCTTTGCAGATGAATTAGTCAGCTTTTCATCATGGTGACAAATTACCTGAGTAAACAACTTATAGAGAGGAAAGGTTTATTTTGACTCAGTTTCAGAGAATTTAGTTTTGTGATGTTGGGGGTCTAACTCAGGGTTTTGCACCTGCCAGACAAGCGTGGCCCCCTCTGAGCTACATCCCAACCTAAGTGAATACCTAGAATAGTGCCTAGTGTGGAGGAAGGGCAATATTAAGTGTCTGATAGAAAGACAAAGAGAACAGCTTCATCCACAGCAGGCGGTATCAACCACAGCCACATTCTGGCATCAGATGAAGAAAAGGGTCCACTGGAGCAGGCACATCTTAGAGGAGACCCCCCCAAGTTCTGAGGATCTACGTACAGTGCCTCAAGCTGAGATGCTGTGTTTTCATTCTCCTTTTCCCCCATAGGATCATGGCAGATCACCTTGACCTTCTCTTAGGAGTGTTGCTGATGGCGAGTCCTGTGTTCGGAATTCCTTCCTGCTCCTCTGATGGTCGGATAGCCTTATTTCGTTTCTGCAATCTCACCGAGATTCCCCCGGTCCTCAACACCACAGAGAGGCTCCTGCTAAGCTTCAACTACATCAGGACAGTCACTGCCACGTCCTTCCCCCTCCTAGAGCAGCTCCAACTGCTAGAGATCGGGAGCCAGTTTACTCCCTTGTCTATCGACAAAGAGGCCTTCAGAAACCTGCCCAGTCTTAGGATCTTGGATCTGGGTAAAAGTCAGATCGACTTCTTGCATCCAGATGCTTTCCAGGGACTGTCCCATCTCTTTGAACTGAGACTGTTTGCCTGTGGTCTCTCTGATGTTGTACTACGAGATGGTTATTTCAGAAATTTAACTTCTTTAATTCGCTTAGACCTGTCCTATAATGAAATTGGGAGCCTTTACCTTCATCCTTCGTTTCAGGAGCTGAATTCCTTAAAGTCCATAGATTTTTCCTTCAATCAGATATCCATCTTATGTGAAGAGGAGCTCAAGCCACTCCAAGGGAAAATGCTGTCTCTTTTCAGACTCAAAGCAACTTACCTGTACATCAGAGTCTCAGTAGACTGGGAGAAATGCATGAACCCATTCAGAAATATACGGCTGGAAACCCTTGATGTTTCTGATAACGGCTGGACTGTGGCTATCACAGGAAACTTCAGCAACGCCATCAGGGGAAGCCAGATTTCCTCTTTGATTCTCACCTACCATATTATGGGTTCTGGGTTTGGCTTCCAAAACCTCAAAGACCCTGACGAGAACATATTTACTGGCCTGGAGAGAAGCTCAGTAAAACGCCTGGATCTGTCCCACGGGTACATCTTCTCCTTGAACCCCCGACTCTTTAAGACACTCAAGGACTTGAAAGTTCTGAACCTTTCCTACAACAAGATAAACCGGATTGCAGACAAAGCCTTTTATGGACTTGAGAACCTCCAAATACTCAATATATCATATAACCTTCTGGGGGAACTTTATAATTCCAACTTCGAGGGGCTACGTAGCGTAGCCTACATTGATCTCCAAAAGAATCACATTGGAATAATTCAGGATCAGACCTTCAGATTCCTAAAAGAATTGCATACCTTAGATCTCAGGGACAACGCTCTTAAAACCATTTCTTTTATTCCAGACTTACTTACTGTCTTCTTAGGTGGCAACAAACTGGTGACTTTGCCAAACGTTAACTTTAAAGCCAACTTCATCCACTTAGCAGAGAACAAGCTAGAAAATCTGGCTGACCTCTACGAACTTCTCCGGGTATCTCAGCTCCAAATTCTCATTTTAAATCAAAATCGCTTTTCCTCTTGCAGCCCAAGCCACGCCCCTTCGGGGAATCGCAACTTAAAACAACTTTTCCTTGGAGAAAACATGTTGCAACTTGTCTGGGAAACTGGGTTCTGTTGGGACGTTTTTAAGGGGCTCTCCCAACTCCAGATTCTGTATCTGAATAATAACTATCTTAATTTCCTTCCCCCTGGAGTATTTAGCGATCTGACAGCATTGAGGGGACTGAGCCTCAACTCCAACAGGCTGACGGTTCTCCCTCCTGGCAGTTTACCTGCTAATTTAGAGATCCTGGATATATCCAGAAACCATCTCCTGTCTCCTGATCCTGGTTTATTTGCATCCCTTAGCATGTTGGACATAACTCATAACGAGTTCATCTGTGAGTGTGAACTCCGAACCTTTATCAGTTGGCTTAATCAAACCAACGTCACTCTATTGGGATCTCCTGCAGACATCAACTGCATGTATCCTAACTCGCTCTTAGGGGTTTCCCTCTACTCCGTTTCCATGGAAGACTGTGATGAAGAGGAAGTCTTCAAGTCCCTAAAGTTTTCTCTTTACATTTTATTCATTGTCACTTGGACTCTGTTCCTCGTGAGTGTTCTCATAGTCGCAAAGTTCCGGGGATTTTGTTTCATCTGTTATAAGACAGCCCAGAGACTGCTGTTCCATGACCATACACAGAGAATAGAATCTGATAGGTACAGATACGATGCCTATTTATGCTTCAGTAGCAAAGACTTTGAATGGGTACAGAATGCTTTGCTTAAACACCTGGACACTCAGTACAGTGACCGAAATAGATTTCACCTGTGCTTTGAAGAAAGAGACTTCGTCCCGGGGGAAAACCACATCACCAACATCCAAGCTGCCATCTGGAGCAGCCGAAAGATCATCTGTCTTGTGAGCAGACACTTCCTTAGGGACGGGTGGTGCCTGGAAGCCTTCAGTTACGCCCAGAGCAGGTGCCTCTCTGACCTCAGCAGTGTCCTTATCATGGTGGTGGTTGGGTCCCTGTCCCAGTACCAGTTGATGAAACACCAGTCAATCAGAGGATTCATACAGAAGCAGCAGTACTTGAGGTGGCCAGAAGATCTTCAAGATGTGGGCTGGTTTCTCAATAAACTCTCTCAGTGCATCCTAAAGAAAGAAAAAGGAAAGAAAGAAGAGAGTCGCATTCAGTTGCGATCGATAGCAACCGTCTCCTAGTCCAAAGAACAGCTTGCAATTCATCCCAAGCCATAAGGAACGCTTGACTTTGTATTTGCACAAAGTGACCATTTGGGGGCTCTTTCTGGAGGTCTTGTTCCTACTATAAAAACATCAATCTCTTGGCTTTCATGTCAACACGATGTTTGTCTCACTGACCTCCAAGTGGAAAATAATATCTGGAAAATTGCAACTGCCCCTAGAGGTTCCCACTCACCATTGATTTCCTTTCAGACCCAATAATACTGTTCTCTCCTGTTGTATGGACTACAGAATGTCCCCTAGTCATGGAAAGGGCACCTTGGAAAAAGTTACAGGTGGCTTCATGGTTTTGCAGGGTTCGGTTCAAGAATGGTCTGGTCTGTGATTCTGATAACTCTGTTTTCGGCAAAACAATACTAAAAAAAACTGAGACCTCTTTCCTTCTTTGGCTTTAGGAACATCAACAGTGCTGGATGCAGGTCACATTTTATCTTGGGGATAAAAGGTGGTCCCAAGGAACCTTCAACTCCTCTGAGTCTAACCCTTGTGAACCATGCCATTTTGCATGTGACTCTCTTCTTTCAGCCTGATGCTCAGGACCTACCATGTTAGCACCAACCTACCTCTTGAACTTCCCTTCCTGCCAGTAACACCTCATTCATCAACTCCGTAAGCTGTTGTAGGAAGAATATGGACTTTATACACAGATCCTGGATCAAATTTTGATTCTGCTGCTTGTTAGTTGGGTCACTTTGAGTATGGTACACCCTTGCTGGGCCTGCTTTCTTGCCTGTGGACATCACAGTTACTAGGAAAATTATATTAACCAAGAATGTCAGGACTTCTCAGATCTTTTCCTTAGTTTTCCTAATGGCCACAAGAGATGAAACACACTGAATGGCCTCTGGGGGCAGTTGGAGTGTCTTTGAATTTGTAATTTTTGCCCTAAAAGGAATCTACATGTATTTCACATTCTAATTCTTTTTTTGTGTGTTTCTTAATATAGAGGCATGTTTCTACAAAAGCATTAATAAAATTTTTAGCCAAAGAACATGTGTCATATTTACCTGTTAGCTTCACATTCAGCCTCTTCTACATCCGACATACTGTATGTTGTAGTCATGTCAATGACTGTAGCTCAAGGAGTACTCTTGGGCTTAGGACTCAGCACTCCCAAATGTCACTCCCTTCTCCTCACGGTGCATCCCAGTCCTCACCTCTTTAACACACGCATATATACATACACACAGGCTGTTCTCATGGCTTCTTTGGAACTCCTCTTATCCATGAGACGGAGCTCACTCTGCACCCAGTGATGGACTTGGCCTTATGAAAGCCACGAGCACCACACCCTGTTCTTCCTTTCTGGACTATTTTCCCAGGTCTTTCCATATATGTTCTTCAAAATCAAGGCCATGAAGCCTCTGGGGATCCCTCCAACCCAAATTCCTCTCTCTTGTGAAAACTCCTGGCACTTTATCAGTTCATTTTAAACTAGCACCTTCTACTTCCTGCCTTTGAGAGCTGTGAGCCTGTCTGGCCACCTACCCCTCTGGACTACAAACCCTGTGACACATCTTCCATGTCTCCCCGTCACTGGCCGTAACAGATCACATGTAGTTTCAGGCCTTCACAAGAGTCCCCCACCAGCATATCTTGTCTGAGTGTCCTCCTCCACTGAATTTCTTCTCCCCACCTTGGTCTTTTGGTGAATTTCCTAGCCTCGCATGACTTCCCATTCATCCTGGTCCCATAGATTTCTGTCACTAAGATGTGACACTTTTGCCAATGTGTTTCATATGTGTGAGCTTGGCACTCAGGACTGGGAGATCCTGATGGCAGGACCTTGTCTTGTTCATCTGTGTATCCCAGATCCAGGATGATGCCTGGGCCATAGGATGTGCTTAATAAATACATGACATGTACTGTGATGGCCACCCTTATGTCAGCACCTGCTGCTATCAGTCTGTGGGGAGAGGCCAGGAAGAGAGAGGCCATGAGAACTGGAAGTCCATGGAGGTGTGGAATGGCAGGGTGAAGCGAGAGGAGACCACAGGCTCCAAATACCAACTCAACTCCCAAGCATGGATGGGCTAGAATGGAGGGAGGGATAGAGAGGTGAGGAAGGGAAACAACCCACATCAATCTGCAGGGGGTAAAGTCCTCTTGAATCTGGTTCTGAGAAATACAGTAAAATAGAACCAAATCGCTGCTGCTAGAAACAGTTACAAAAACAAGTCAAAAAGATTGGAGAAGGCCACACTGGGCCAACTCAGTCCTACCTGTCACCTGTGCTCATCAGCCTTTATTCTCCCCAAGCTGCAGGAGCAAGGGCAGCCGTGAGGCTGATAGGGGTCCTCATCTGCACCTCTTATAAGGCAGGTCTCTTGGGGAAAGGAGGTTGCTAGTTTTGGGTGGGGAGTGGGGCTTGGGTGGGAGTAGTGCTATACCAGGGAACCTTTCCCTTGCTTTGGGTGACCATCACCAAACCTCAGACACGTAAAATTACAAATGCAAATGTACTCATAGAACAGTAAGTTGGAACACAGATATGTCTTGGCATATGAAAGAGGTCTATCTCACAGCCTTTCCTAATCCTCATGTTTAAGAACATAACTACCAGGTAATTTACCTAATGAAATATGTTCAACAAGCAAGCACCTTTTGTCACTTCTATACAGAGTTCCTAGGAGACCTGCTCACCATACATCCACTATTGAATTCAACATGCCCCCCCCAGTTTATTCCAGAACTTCTGTTTGGCAAAGACCCAGGACTTTCTTCAATTCTTTTCATTTGTCATTTCTTCCATCACCAGTACCTGGATTTCTTTTTGAGGCCATTTTCCCAAGTCTTTCTCACTCTGTAAGAGTTGCTACACATATGCCAAGAGGAAGGTCGAGCACAGCCGTGTTGAGAAGTGAGAGCCGCGGGGTCAGAGAGACCCTTCTTGCTGGGCAGTTGTTCCTCACTCACTTCACAGCCATTAAAAGTCAGGTCTCAGTAAACAGATAAACCCCATTGTGCTGGTCAGATTTCTGTCATGATAGCAAATACCTGAGACAAATCAACTTATAAAGAGAAAAGGTGTGTTTCCACTTGCAGTCTCTCGAGGTTCCAGTCCATGGTCAGTCAGCCCCATTGCTTTGGGGCCTGTAGTGAGGCAGCACATCATGGCAGGGAGCATGTGATGGATCAAGGTTACTCACCTCATGGCTGGAAAGCAAAAAGAAGAAGAAGAAGAAGACGGGGCTGAGGTCCCCAGTCCCCTTGGCGAGTACACCTCTAGTAACCTGAAGACTTCCCAGTAGGCCCTGCCCCTCAAAGTTTCCATCACCTCCCAAGAGCATCACTGTGGAAATATGGGAGGGAATCTCTGGGGAACACTCAAGATCTAAACTATAGCATTCATCGTGCACAGTCCATTGGAGTCATGCCAAAATAGTAGGAACTACTGCAGTGCAATCTAAGAATGCCCAGAGCTTTTCAGGTTTGAAGTTGATATTATTCTGGAAAATTTAGAATAGTGATTGGGGCTGCTGAAAACTTCAAAGAGAATCTCCCTCATCACCCCAAATACAAGGGACTTTGAAAAGTCCTTGCCAATCACATGCACCTGCAATAAATAGTATTTCAAATAGTCTTAATATAAAGTAAAATGAATGTGATTTAAAGTTTTAAATCATGCAATGAAATAGCTCTATTAGGAGGATAAGAGACTGTGGTGTGTACATGTAAGATAGTTACATGTTCATCTACTGCAATAAGCAATCAATATAAAGAGTTTATAATGTTAAACCAAGAAATAACATTCTAAATGCATATTTTAAAACATAGAAATGACAGAAGAAAACACTAGATGGATTAATGATGAATATCTGAGGGGTCCTGATTAGTTCTTCCAAGGGGAACATCTAGAAAGGCTGGAGAAATTAATTTTTAGAATCTATTTAAAGGCATTGGAGAGCTGCAAAATAGTAACTAGAGCCAAGATCCAAGAGAAGAAAATCAAGAGAGATGGATCCATTAATTAGAAGAGAGCATCAATGAGTGAAAAGGCAAACCATAGCATGGTAGAAGATATTTGAAAACATTTATCTGAAAAAGACTCATAATGCAAATATGAAAACATGTTTACAAGCCAATAAGGAAAAGACAGCAGAAAAGACAACTGGGCAAGATATTGAAGATTTTACAAAAGAATATCCAATGCCCAACACACAAATGAAAAGATATTCAAGTTCATTTAGTCATCAGAGAAATGCAAATTAAAATTACATTATAACCAGGCCTGTAATCCCAGCCACTCAAGAGCCTGAGGCAGGATTGCACGTTAAAGGCCAATCTGGCAACTTAAAAATAAAAATAAAATGAGCTGGAGATGTAGCTCCGTGGTGGAGCACCCCTGAGTTCAATTCCTAGTAATTAAGATAAAATAAAATGACATATTGTCATACCACTACAAACCCACCAGACTGGCTAAAATTAAGGGGGCTGACAGTATCAAATAGTGGAAAAGACAAAGAACAATTGAAACTCTCCTGTGTTACTAGGAATTGGCACACTTTTAAAAACAGTTTGCATTATCTATGGAAGTTGAATTCACACATGCCCTATCATGCTGCAGTTTTACTCACAGATATATATGTACACACCAGGTATGTGCACACCATTCGCATGTGCACCAAAAGACACATAAAACATCTTAGAATCATTATATGTAGGAGCCAGCTTTGGAAACATCCCTTGTGTTCATTATCCATACAATGGATAAGTTGTGTAATTGAAAACTAGACAGAAATGAAAACCAATTAGGGCGAATTGTAAAAACATGAGTGCATCTCACAAAAATGTAAAGTCATAATGATGCATAATGATTATACACTGAGTGCTTCGATTTTCAGAAACTTCAAAAAGGCAAAACCCATCTATGATAATGAAGATAATGGTCACCTTTGGAAAGTGCTGGAGGGGACTTGTGAGATACTGGTTATTTTCCATTTCTTGATGGAAAATAAAATGAGTGATGGTCATTGGGTGTATGCACTTAGTGGTGTTGCATTTTATCTGCACCCATTAATTTGTTCACTTATCTGTAAGGTCTTATTCTTCAATTTTAAAAACAAAAATTTTAAGAAGCAGGCAGATTTCAGGGGTTGTTGTTAAAGGAATAGAAGACATGTAGTAGACCGATTCATGTAGAACTAATGGGACATGCTCCCTGAACACCTTATTTTTGCAAAATGAGTTTTTTCTTGCTCTCCCAACCAAAGGAAAAAAACACAAAGGATTATGATGGGGACCGAGGGAGATTAGGAGGAGGGGCAGAGGGCTGCAGGCTTTCACTATGGGTCTTTTGTATTATTTGATGTTTAACTCTGTACATGCATTTCATTAACCACTGTTAAAATAGGCAAAAGTACAGATGTGCTTACATAAAATTGAGATGATAACTTCTGTCCATGGCAGCAGCGAATATAGATAGGATTAGCCAGAATTTTAAAACGAATCCACAAAGAAAACAAAATTACTTCAGCAGATGAATATGTATGCAAACAAGATATATGTTTTGCTTGGTTTTATTTTTCTTAAGATTAAAGGGATTTTTAATCTGTTTGACTTTGCAATTAAATGTTTTATTTCTCAATAGCTTCCATTTAGATCGAACTTTTAAGAAATGAAACGTTTTTATTTTACAGAAAATTCCATGGAAAGAACTTGCTAAGGCTCCTAGATTCCTCTCAGGCACCAGAGTCCAGGCAAGTCTGACAAGGTGGCTTTATTCCTGAAACTTGGGGACCTGATCCAAGTGGCTGGAAATCATGTTTCTTTTCCCAGCGCAGGCCGTTCACCTCCTCAGGCCTGTTTCCCTGTCTCCTCCCCAGGAAGGTCGCCTCTCAGAGACGTGATAAAAAGTTGATGACATCATGTCTCTTTGGGAGCCCGGCTGCCCTTCAGGAAGCAGGTGTTGGGAGGACCTGAGGCTGGGACCTTTTTCTGCTGCACTGACGGGGTTCGCTGTGCAAGTAGCCCGCAGGGCCTAACACTTGA